ATAGCTTGAGTTTTCTATGTCTCTTTAAAATGCCCAGCACGCTAATATGACCTTCCCTACCTATTAATTTTTACGGAAGTGGTCCTCGTTAAAAATGGAGATGATAAAGAACCAAGCTCTTCCTTCTGTGGCACTCTTGTATGTTTTCACCGCTAGAGGTGAAGGACAAGAGTGGCTACCAATACAAGGTGGGAAGACCGGCTTTTAATCCCCTCTTGCTTTTCATCTTTCCTCCTGCAAAAAGAACAGGCAAAGCTGAACCTAAGCTGAGCTCCAAGTGGCAAATATCCCTCCGAACCTGTTATCCCTCCATTTAGCTATCCAGGGATTGGTTTAAAGAGGGAACTGAACTGTATTTGTATTTTGACTCTGATCTATTTATGCTACTTAACTGAGGTTTCTGCATTTTGAGTTGCCACAGTCGGAAGGAACGGGATAGCCTACATGCCAATTACCTTGGTAATTATCAGCAAAAAAGCAGTTGCTTTTTCTGTGTGCCCAATATTTATTTCCCCACAGACTTTTGGAATGGTTTTTTTGTCTTCTTCTAACATTTAAGGAAAAATGGGCAGCCTGTTATTTGTTCAAGCACGGTTGACTCTGTGGTATCAGACCTTGGGTTATGCCGCATATTTTCGTTCTGGGAAGAGAGAAAGATTGAAATTTTAATGGCACTGATCTGTCTGTGAGACATGAAGGTTCCTGAGCTGGTACAGAGACTGGAAGGTTATGGAGTTTACCTAATTTGGGAAAAGAATGGCAAAGAATTGTCAAGAGAAGTTTGTTTAATTGGATGGTGGCCAACGTACATTTTAATAGATTTCAATGCAAAACAGACTTTGGGTTTGAACATCCATGGAAACCATTACCAATCTATCTGGTTGTATATTTACCCAAGCATCTCTGGAGAGTTTGATGGTGTTGCAGCAAATCATACTTTTCTGTACAGTCCTGAGGTCTCCTTGTAACAATGGATCACTAATGAAAAAGATTAGGAACAGCAACACATGAGACTTCGTCATATCTAGGGAAGATTTGTGCAAGATCCTGCACCATAACAGTTGGATAGCTGCCCTCCTCCTTTACTGATTGCGGGTTTGGGGGAATAATGTCAGATTTCCTCTTATGTTACTCTCTGCAGAAAGACTTCAGAGTCCAGGAGCTCCCATTGGCACGCATTAAGAAGATCATGAAACTAGATGAAGACGTGAAGGTAACATTTCTGGCAACTTTTTTTTTTAAAAAAATATAAAGCCCTAAAATTTGTTCTAAGCATATTTGACTTCCCTGCATGCTTCCTCGGAGGCTGTCTTTTTATTAACCTTGTGAACTCTCAAGCTTCCTCCTTCCGTTATATATTCAAGATGGACAGTATTTAATATTTATTTGATACGTATATGTAGGGATGTGGGTCTATATATAGGTTGTTCATAGTATGTTTAGGTGTGCGTCATGTATGTGTTTCACTTTGAGAGTGGACAAATAAATTTCATTTTTGATGTGTGCCGTTGTGCCCACAGTAAAAAAATGACAATAAAGGTTATCTTATCTTTTCAAATTAGAAGCTAAACACAGACTGACGTGGAGTCGAACGGAAACTTAAGATGCAGCATAGGCTGCTGTGCTGATACTGGCACGAGAGACATCATGGCAAATGAGGGTGGGCAATGGCAGCTGCGGGGGCGGGAGATAGGTGGGGTACCAAGTGAGGATTATATTTTGGTTTGAAGAGGGTGACTTTCCATTTTAAAGTTGTTTGTCCATTTTTTACTTTTCCAGTTTGGTTTTTCACTTGTTTCCTGGAAAGGACCGAACTGCTTTCTTTTTATTTTCTCTTTCTCTCTCTCTCTCTCTCTCTCTTTTCATATATGTGTTTTTGCAATGTAGCTGAAAAGCAGTGTGGTGTGCTAAGCGGATATGCTATCGTTGTATGCTATTAAAACTGGAACTATGGAACTATGAGCATTGTTTAAATCATAACTTTGTGGCACATCTGAGAAATTGCTCGATCGAGCAGAAGCGCCACTAGTCCTTACAAGCGCCAGTACTGGTGAGGTCCCCTAAGAAGTCTACAATAAGGGCATTCTGTTCCCAGCAACTGACATTCCATAGTAAACAAGTTTCTAATTGCAGCTTGCCCTTGATACTCATTTCTGAATATAAGTGAACTTCTTTTAAACCTTCTCGTGTCCATCCCACCTTGTAAAAGGCACAACGATCTTATGTTTTAACCTGTAACAGCAAACTTAGTCCCGTTTTCCTTTCTTCTCTTGCTCTCTCTCCCTTTCTCTCTTCTTCCCCCCTCCCATTCTTAGTATCAAGATTAGGTTCCTCCAGGCTGACTGTAGTTCTCACAGGATGGGAATGGGGTCAGTGAAACTGACACCCTTGCAAAGGTGAAAACTCTCATTGGTTGGAGCAGGGCACTTTTCAAATTGTTCCAGTTGATAAAAACAGATTCACCTGACAGACACATTTGATAGTGGTGGGGTTGGGGTTTTTTTGACCTTGGTCTCCGTGCCCCTCTTAACTTTCTTTGCAGATGACCTGTGGTTCATTGGGATAATTTCTCCTCTTTTATGCAGACATTGAATCTGGTTACATGGACCATTGTTCAGGCTTGCAGTAGAAGGTGTAGTTTCTCTTCCTCAACAGGCTAAAGATGGGAAACTGAGTGTTGTTTTTGCCCTACTCCTTTTTGAGAATTGGCCAGGTTTTGTATGTAGACTTGGCTGTCTGGGAAGTAAGCTGTGCGTGAAATATTGTTCCATTTCTAAGGAATTACACATTGAATCCGGATTGATTTCAAAGGCTGCACATGTTTAATGTCTACCCTGCAGTGCAAAGCTAGAATTCTTCAAAGAGGTTCCTGAAAACAGGTTTCTTAAAATACCAGATGAGATTATTTTCACTTCCATCTGAAAACTCAAGGGATCAACGTTTAGTCCATTATTTCATTAAAAGTATTTTGTTTAAAAGGTTTCGTGACCACTTAAAAATAATGGACAGCAGACCTTTTTTTTTTTTAATGAGAATACATATAAACTCTTAGATGCTTGGTGCAATCTTCGAAGGAACTTTACTCACTAGAGAAAATGCTTCTTCTGAAAAGCATCTGAAAACAAGGTTCACCATGCTTTAGAATGCCGAGCGATGGTATTATGTCATCAGTATATTTCACTGATTAAAATTCCAGGATCAAGATGCTTTTATATGACGGCATTTATTTGTTATTTGGACCGTACTCGGGATCGTAGCCTGAGAACAACAGGAAGTTCACTGAGGCTAGCAATGCAGTCAAAATCAAAAAGAGACATTTCCTGTGTGAGAGAGGAAGCTGGCTAGTCTTTGCCAAAGGCTTGGAACATGCCATGTTTGTTCTTATTCGGAAATTGTAGAGAATATTTGTAGCTTGGATTGTAGATTTAGGCAGAGGTTTGTCCTCTGAGGTTGTTGCTTGGCTCCTGGACGTTTCATTACCAAACAAGGTAACAGTCACAAGACTAATTGACCACCTAGGATGGATCTGCAACCTTGACAACTTTAAGACTTGTGGACGTCAGCTCCCAGAATTCCTCAGCCAGCATAGCTGGCTGAGGAATTCTGGGAGCTGACGTCCACAAGTCTTAAAGTTGTCAAGGTTGCAAACTTCTGCCTTGTACTTCTGCCTTGTACTTACTTATTTTGCTATGTGCTTGTTCTTAAATGGCAAGACACAATTGTCATTTTCCTGGGCTTGAGCTGAGGCCCCAGAGGTGAAGCCCTTTCATATTTGCATCCTTGATATTTAAAAGCTTGAATTCTCTGGCTGGGAAATGGCATGTTTCAACCCTAACATATCTGACCGGGTGGTTAAAACCTGGGGAATTTCAGGTAACGATTTCAATTAATCCCAAACAATCAGCAAGTCGCCTCGAACGAGCCTCTAATTCTGTCTGGGTTTGACCTTTTGGGGTTGCTGTGAGGACCAAAGGGATAACTTTCCCTACCCATCATTCTGATCTTCTTGGAAGGTAAAGTTTCTTATTTATAGGTTATTTTCCAGGATAAGTAAGTCGTAATAGCTCTCGCTCATCCCAAAGAAAGCTTTGCTTTTTTTTTTTTAGGGTGGGGGGGGAGAATACAGGGTCCCGCAGTTGTCTTGTTTTACTACAGTCAGTAGGCTAAATGCCCCTTCATTTCTGTAGATGATCAGCGCAGAAGCTCCGGTTCTGTTCGCCAAGGCTGCTCAGATATTCATCACGGAGTTGACACTACGAGCCTGGATACACACAGAAGACAACAAACGCAGGACTTTGCAGGTAAAAGGACTGCTTACCACCCTGACGTTATGCTGTTGTCTTTACTTTTTGCCTGCTCCTGCTTTGGGGGTGGGAGCCTAGATCAAAGCAAGACTAGATTGAAGCAAGGCTTTTACTAGTCAGTCTCGGAATGCAAATGCTTGATGATAGCATCTCCCCTGCAAAGCCAGTTGACAGTAAAAAGCATCAAGCAGGAACTTAACTCGTCGTCCTCCAGTTTCTATTTCTAGGTCTCTGCAGACACAGATCCAGCATCCCATGGGGGGGGGAGGATGGAGCAGTGGGTGACCAACTATGTCCTTTTTGAGCATTGGCTTCAGTATTCATTTAGAGGCACATTTGAAACAAACACTGAATTGCTGTAGAACAGGCCATTTGTATCAGAAAGAGTATTCCGTTTCCCCCCCCTCTCTCTCCTTCTCTCTCTCTCTCTCTCTCCCTCTCTCTCTCCCTCTCTCTCTCTCCTTCTCTCTCTCTCCCCCTCTCCTCTCTCTCTCTCCTTCTCTCTCTCCCTCTCCTTCTCTCTCTCTCTCCTTCTCTCTCTC